TTTTGGTGGCTACCAGGTCCAACCCAAGCGGTTATCAACCCGACTCAACAAGAACTTTGGGGGGTATGCCCTTCCACATTTGGCCACTAGGGGGCGTGTGCGCAATACTGTGGTTTTTATCAGCGGCTCTAAGACAGAACCCGGAGGGCTCTCTTCCGGTTGAAAGAAGAGTCGGCTAGAGGGCCTGGAGTTTCCATCTCCAAACAGCGAGGGGAGGGACTTGACTTTTGGGGAACATGGGTATAGAGACAGATAGGTATCTTCAGTATGTGAGTGCCTGAGCTGAAAGGTCCCGTTCCATCTATCCTTAGACATGGGTGGAGAGTGTGTGTGTGTCCGGTTCTCCACCTACTACCTTCAAGTCGCTTAAATGTTCTGGGCAACAGTTTCTTCACCTCTAAAAACAAGTGACTTGTGAGCTAGCTGATCTCTGTGGCTCCTTCCAGCTGTATTTCTATACATTGAACACAGGAGGTTTGGGGACATTGAGTAAAATAGGACAGAGCCCCTAACAGACCAACCAGTCCTCAGCGAAGGCATTCCTGATTTCTGGCTGGGCTTTGAACTTTGGAAGGCTCCGGACTTTGAGGAGTTCCTCCGTGGCCTCCTCATGTGTTAAGCCTTTTTAGTCTACTCAGGGTTTGAAAATGCATTTCCTGGAACTGTCTGGAGCCAGGGATCGGAGCGAACATTCTTGGTGCCTTTCTGCCTGACACATAAATGACTGATTTCTAGGTAAGGCTGTGCCATCTTTTGGTGCTTGTCTTACATGACAAACTCATTTGTCTCAGGTAGCTGGGAAGTGGTGCTGTCAGAGGCTGTGTTTGAGGACAATGGACTTGAACGGGTGTCAAGGGCTTGCTGTGAACTGACCGCCCAGCCAGGTGCTAGGGCTGCGGAGGCAGAGGGGTCCGAATATGACTGGCCCCCGCTGCAATGTGTGCTGTGTGCCCAGGAGCAGGAACAATGCTTGTGGGGGTTGGGAGGACAGAGAGTCAAAAGCTTTCAGCCCGGTCACTTAGTGCCCATGATAAGCCTTACGGATCTGCTTTGCCACCATCGTGGGAGATCAGGATTTCCTCTCCCTGCGCAGAGACATCGAGTACCTAACTCAAGATCACACAGCTAGTAAGCAGGAGATCCAGGGGTCAAACCGAGGTCTCTCAGGCTCTTGGTCCAGATTTCAACTTCACCACCCATGGCCCTGGGTCTTGGGGGATCTGGAATAGGGCTCACCATTCTTAAACCAAAGGAAGAGGACACTTGTGTGAACAGCAATCTGGCAACAGACATGCAACTCTCTCAGAAACACGCTGCCTGCTTTTGTGTATTCTCTGAGGCATGTGGTTGCTGTGGCGATGTCTGAGAGGCTGGCAGGTACTTGTCCACACCAACACGTGGGTGTGGTAGGTGGGAGCTAGGTGGGGATTCTGACAGACAGCCATGGTGGTGGTTGGCTGGAATAACGGGGCAGCTCCTTAGATGGCATGGGGATGGCGACACTTGATGAGGCGGTTTTAGAAGTGCCTCTCTGTCTCTGGGGCTGGGAGGTGAACCCCTGACGTATAAGAGCTAGGAGAAAAGCTTCTTACTACAGCTGAGGGCCTCCACTCCAGGCCAGATGCAAAGTATGCAGATGGGAGAGTGGCCCCAGTGGCCCAGGCTGAGGTGGCTTTGCAGAAGTCTGTTTGGTTCATGGCTGGTCACTTGTACCCAGAGCAGTCCCTGACCTTGGCATGTGCTCGGGAGGTACTGGTAGGTGCCTGGAGAGACCCCTGGCCTGAAAGTCAGAAGACCTGAGTTTTGAGTACCATCTGCAACGGCTTGCAAAATAATCGGAACTGTTCCCAACATCAGATTTTCTCATCATCAGAGGGATCCGAGGGTTAGTGCCCTCAGGAGGGGGTCCAGGTGCAGAGGGGCCCCACAGCCAGCAGCTCAGCCAGGTTGGTGGGTGGGGACAATTTCCTGAGCATTTCACAGAGACATTCGTCTCCTTCCTCCCTGGAGGACCCCATGTGGGTATTCATTGTACTGGGCACCTGCCCTCTTGGAAGGTTCAGAGAGAAGGAGGGTCCGGAGCAGAAGATTCAGTGCCTCTGCTGTCAGCTTCCTGGTATACAGCCCTCCTCCCCAGCTGCCAGCAAGACTTCTCTGCCAACCTTGCCAATGGAGGAGGGCTGGACTCTCACAGACTGACCCCTGGGAGGGAAGAATGGGGAAGGGAGGGAGGCCTGAGGGTCCATGAGTCTAGGATCCCTTACTGACAGCCGTGGGACTTAAGCAAAGTACCGAACTGCTGTGAGCCTTGGTTTCCTCATTTGTAAGTGGTGATAAATAGTGTCTTCCCTGCAGGTTCTTGGGAAAACTAAATATAGTGAATGAAAGAGCCTGGCCCTTAGTAAGTGCTTAATGAAAACAGCAGTTACTCACAGTGTGGAATGTTACTGGGGTAGAGGGTCTGAATGGAAAGGAGACCGCAAGGCCAAGTGATGAGGGGGCCGCTGAGCATCCAGCATCTACTCCCCCTTCTCCTCCCCTGGGGCTCACTGACATCCCAGAACTCCCTTCTGCCTCCCTCCCTTTAAGTTTGGCCACCAGGGACTCAAACCCTAGCATGTAGGTCCTGTGATGCAGGGACATGAGCCAGAGGTATGTGCATTCCATCCCAACGCTGTAGGAGAAAACATTGCCCCATGAACTTTTCCAACTGGCCTCTAGGGCTGTGGGCATACCCCTGGATTTGAAGATGTGGTCTCGGAAGCTCACACAGGTGAATGAGCCAAGGTCCCACAGAGTCAGGGAGGGGCTGGGGCTGCAACCATCCATGTTGCTGTCCCAGAAGCCCCGTTCTGGGCCCCGGGTGAGAAACAGAGCCCTGGAGTCCCAAGTCCTTCACTCAGTCTGCTGGGGCAATGCACGGTGTCCAGCAGTGAGGACCCCATGGGGTAGTGTTTGCTAAGTGCTCCTGGGAGCTACAGTTGAGGGGAAGGAGAGATTTGGGAGACCAGAAGGAGAGCCATGCAGGAAGAACCCCAACAAAGACCAGCTAAGTAGGCACTCACTAGGCGCTGGAGACTGTTTTGGGGATTTCATTATGAGTTGCCTTGTTTAATCTTCATGGCTCTGTTATGAAATAGGTTGTATTCTCATCTGTACTTTACAGATGAGGAGACTGAGGCACACATAGGTCACAGCTAGTGAGCACAGAGCCATAATTGCAAATCCAGGCTGTGGGGTCCCAGAGGCCACGTATTTAACCTATCATTTGACTGCCTCTTGAGAGTTCAGACCAAAGAGAGACATGAAGATTCTTACTGGGCACTCTGAAATGACACTTCTGCCGGGAGCCACTGCAGTCTAGGGGTGGAAAAGGGGATGGGGTGCTTGTGCTTGAGGACAGTGGGTACTGGGGGCTGGGACTCAGAGCAGCTTAGCGCTACTTGATTTCCACTCTCAGCATCTCTGGCTGTGGAGGCCTTCATGTGCATGGGAGGAAGAGTCTGCTCCAGGCAGCTGGCCACAGGAGTGGCATTCCACTGGTCTGTTCCTTCAACAAACATTTCTGGGGTGCCCCCACACCTGTCCCAAAGGCACCAGGTGTTGGGAACCCTCCCGGCAAAACAAAATTCTAGCTCTGCCCGGAGATGCTCATGGTCTCATGGAAACAGAATTACCAGCTGTGAGCCAGGGCTGACCGGAGCAGGGTGGGGGAGGGGAGTGAGGGGGCATGGTGCCTTCACTGCTTTGTAGAGGAAGTCTTGGAAAAGCTGTCCAGGGGAGGTGACACTGCGGCCAGGACTTGGGATGGGGTTTGGAGGGGGAAAGGCAGCGCAGACTCAGGAGTCTTTGGCCGGCTGGGGAACATTTTACTCCACATGCTGAGGAAACCTGAAAATGTCCTTAAGGGAGGGCTTGTTGGGGAAGGGGACGGAAAGGGACGGAGGACATCAGCACCCACGTGCGTCCAGGGGACAGGCTCCTGCAAGGCTCCCTCTTCCTCCTCCAGGCACAGCCGGTTTATGGGAGATCAGAAAGACAAGCCGGTGGCAAGTCGGGATGACAAAGACGCCCTGAAGGGCACGCGTTTTTATGTAATCGACCTCAGCACCTAGGGTCCCGCGTTAGGCGCCGACGAAGGACGGCGCGCCCGCCTTATTTCCTTGCAAATAGGAGGGGACAGCAAAGCGAAATAAGTTAGGGAAGTCCTGAGAGCCTTAAAAAGCAGGGCGGCTCGTCCGCCCCGTGGCCTCTCCCCAGAGCCCGCCGCGGCAAGCCCGGGCTCCCCCAGCCGACCTCTCCCCCGGCCGGGCCCCCGACCCCCCTCCCGGGAACGCTCGCCGAGTGACCTTGGGCGAGCCGCGCGACCTCTCCGGGCCTGTTTCCCGGCCTTCGCACCCGGCAGCGCCGTGACCACACAGCGGGACTCTCCCGCGCCCCCGGGGTTGGAGCAGAGCGCGCGGCGGGCGGGAGGCGCCGGGACGCCCTTCCCGGCGGACAACCGCGCGGCGAGGGGCGGACCCCC